TTGGCTCCCTCTGGTCTGTCTTTCACCACAAGAGGGGGGCACTGTGCTATGGTAAGAGCTGCATGTGCTGAAGTGCAGCAAGAGCTTTGCGTTCCCAGGACAGTCCTGTGCAGCTGCTGTCCCATTGAGGATGGAGCGGCTGAGGAAGGCAAGCCTCCGTTTTGATGCCACTTAAGGCTGGTGACGGCTGCTCACAGTGTGGCTGAGAGAGCCAGCGAGAGTGTCTGTGGTGGGCAGGGTAGCTGACGAAGACCCAGAAAACATGGACAACCACCTTCCTCATGTTGTGAAACCACGGCACATTGGGAAAGGAGGGCACTGAATAGGAGCACCTATAAAGCTGTCTGGTTTGGCTGGGCTATGGGGTGAGCCAGGGGATTCTCGGTGGCCAGGGTTTGCAGAGAGGCCAAAGGGAATTAAACATCCAAATCTCATTGAAATTCAGTGGGATCTAGGTAGCAAACTCCTAGAGCCTTTTTGAATTTCCTGGCCTGTGGCCTTTGCAGAGATTACTGAGGACTTTCCTTTAGCTTATGCTCCATCCTCTTTTTCTGTTTAAGGAAATCCCTCTCTTCTGTCCTGGGAAGACTAAGCTGATGATGCTACAGATCAGATCTGAGCTCATGACCTTCCTCCCCAGGCTCCTTAGTCTCCAGCTGTTGTGTTAGCGCCCGCAAGAATCTTCCCTTTGAATTACACTCTTCGTTCTGCTCCCAGGGGCAGGGGTAGGGAACTCCCCCTGAAATAGTTTCCATGAGATGAGTGCATTTCCCATGGTAGCCCTCACCTGGGGGAGGCAGGTGGTTCCTTTTGCATTCCCCTAGCGAGGCTTCTGTAGTGCGGGCAATGTCATCTATACGAAATGGTGAGTTGTGGAGGTGTGCACATCTCTGGAGGGCAAGACTGTCTCTCTCTGAGGTTTCTCTGAAGAGGCTACTTCTGCATTTGGTTTTCAAGGGACAGTTTCTTGGATTAGGTTTTCATGCCATCTGTGAGAAGGTAGAGAGAGGTAGTTGATTGTGTTAGTCTAGAGTTAGGCAGAAGGCAGAGCTGATTTGAATTTACAGAGTAAATCAGAGACATGTAGCTTAAGCTTTTGTGAGCCCAAGCTGACTTCAGGTGCTGTGAGAGGACAGTGTGTCAAATAACAAGAGTAACTTGTATATCATTTCTTGCTTAACTTCTCCAGAGAGCTGACAGGTTTGGGAAGAACAGGAAGGCTGAAGCTTCTCCCACACTAGACCCCAAAGGGTGCACTTGTGTTGTGTAGTTCAGTTTGGGGGGAGTATAGGAAATCTGTCTGTCCCTGAGCCACGTTTAAGGGCACATTTAGGAGTCTGCCAAAGTGCAGAAGGAGAACCTGTGGCATTGGTGCCTGGCCTGGGGTGGGGGTTGGATGGACACTTTTTCTATGGCATTGAACTAGGTAGGGAATTTAACAGCTTTAGAGAGGGGTGGGGAGGGGGGAACTGCTGAAGCACAGAAGAACTGTCACAAAGCTTCCCGCCTGCAATGCAAATATGCACAGCCGAAGTGGCATCTGCCTGACCCAAGTTAGACACGGCACCTCTTGGTCAGTGGTTCAGTGGCAGCTGGCCTGGTGCAAATTACGTCTGGATGATGCAGTTAAGGACAGAAATCCAAAATCCCTCAAGCATTCAGCCTTGATACTAGGGTCAGTCTGGAGACGGGGTGGGTAGTGGCCAGGATCATGGCCTCTCTTACCTTCACTGAGCAAACACAGTGAGGCTCTGGCCAGTCTCATGATGAGTCTGATGGGCAGGAGCACAGTGCAGGAACTGGGGCTTCACTTTGTGCCAGGGCTCCAAGGGCCGGTAGGTCTGGCTCTAGTGTCAGCCATCATAGAGTTAATGTGATTCATTTCATTCCCTTTCCATTCCCGCATTGTTTTGAACTAATTAGAGTTATAACAATATAACCAGAAATCAAATGCACCTGATTGAATAAAAGGCTGTAATTCAACCAAGAGTCGATGCTAACCTCATAAATCGTGAGAAAAATATCTCCAGCGGTTTGTGAGTATCAGTGCCGGGAAGCTGAGTGATAGCCCTGGGAGGCCCTCCAGGGTCTGGGAATGTTTATTGATAAGATCAAGGGCTATTTTACCACCTGCTCTCTGCCAGAAAGGAAAGGAAAAACACCAAGAAACCTCCCATTCCAAATCTCTGGTATTAATGAAAGGGACCTGGGCTGCATTAATGGAAGTTGCCTCAGTGGGAACATTGTGTTCATGATAAGAAAAGAAAGGGTTGTAATCAGGGAGCTCAAAGGAGTGGGGTGAGGGGGAGGAACACGCTGCAGTGCCCTGTGTTGACTCTGCCAGCTATGGCACCTGGCCTGCAACAGTAGGCAGTGATGCACCTTCTCCCTACCTCTTGTATGGCATGGCTGTGTGAGCACGTTACTGCAAGGGTGTGAATTTACAATATGGCAGGTACTCGGTGATAACTGCCTGTGTGCTGTGGTAAGGGTGAGGTAGTTTGCTAATCAGTGAAAGTGGGGTATGCTACCTTACATTTACCTTGAGGGGGAGGAGTCAGAACTCATGGCAGAGGTGATATCTGTTATTAGACCATCTAGGTATCTGCAAAAAAAATATTTATTTGCAAGCTTTCAGGCGCACACACCCTTCCTCAGGCACAGGAGAATGCAAGGATTGTAAAATTTCAACTAGGTAGAAATGGAAGTTCTCCTACTTAGAAATGAAAGTTTATACTGCACAGGAGAGCTGAAGGTGTTGTAAGTTCTCCTGGCTGGAAAAGTTCATTTTGTGCAAATTAGGCTCAGATAAAAGTTAGAACAGTCTATGCCTGAGGAAGGGTAAGTGTGCCCAAAAGCTTGCAAATAAAGATTTTTTTTTGCAGATATCTAGCTCTGCATAAGTCCCACCTGAGCTTTCAAATTAGTTCTAAAATGCTGCCCAGTCCTTTTCCTGCTTTCTCTGCACAGAGATGAATTTCAGCCAGGGGCTAAATACAGACAGTCAAAAAGCCCAAGGCTGAATTGATTCAGCCTTTGCAGGTTAGTTTAAACTGTGCAGATTGAACTGATTAGCAAATGAACAGACACTCACTTTTGATTCAGGAAATGAAGCCACGTGCCTACAGTGACTCAAGCCAGAAGCCGGGGGGTGCTAGAGCATGGCTGCCAGCCACTGCCAAAGGGGAAGGAAGAGAGAGACCCTCCAAGACTTCCCCCACTCCCTTCTGGAGCAGAGGGGCCCTGGCCAGGCCCCAGTCCTGCTCTGCCTGGGTGGGGGGAGGGGAGGAGTAGCAGCACTGAATTTATAAAAGTTTGCACAAGAATAGTTCTGTCTGAAAAACTATAAACTAAAAACTATAAACATAGCCTGGGAGGTATATTCACTTACTTTTCCTGCTGTTCCCGAGGCCTCTGGGATTTGCAGTCCAGCATCAGAGCAGCAGGACTCCACAAGGTTTCTCATCACTTTTTCTTTGTGCTTCCAGATGTCTCTGGGATTTGTAATCCAGAGTTACAGCCAGCACTAAGTTTAGCAGGGTAGGGCAGGGCAGCTCTGTACTTGGTGGAGGGCGAGCATACAGCCCAGCCCAGGGCTGAAAAGCATGCTGGGATGCTGGGGGACTCTGTTTTAACTTGAACCAGGAAGGGGTCTGGGACAGAAGTTTCATAAACCAGTTTGACCTAAATCAGTTAAGTCTGATGCTATATTCAACCAGGTTTATCTTAAACTAGTTTCAGCCATTTTGAAACTGGTTTATGTGCACTGAACTTATGTTCTTTTACGGGTTTAAACCAGTTTCTGATCACTTATCTGGTTTATGTGTCAACTTCTGTCCCTAGCCAAAATGTCTGTCTATAACTTCAGTGTCTTTCATAGAGCTATACCAACTTATTTCAGGTCAGAATCTGGCCTTGTCTCATAACAGATGTTATCTATTTTAGGTGCTTACTATGGTATTTGGTTGCTTCACCCTGTAATGCATTCAGTAGCTGGTGCCTTCACCGAGTGCACTTAATGTTGCGACAGCATATCAGCTGAACGGAGCTATGTGAAGCTTCCAGAAATGTGGGTGTGCACACATTGTGGAGGCTGGGTAACGGTGGCTAGTCTGTGCCCGCCAAAGCTCTAGCAACAAAAGAGGCAGCCAGGTGGAGACATTGCCCTAGCCTAGAAGGAACAAACTTGTGAGATTTAAATATTTCCACACTTCTGACAGGTCACTGTAGGTACCTAACTAATTTGTTTGCTTCCAAATCTCAAGGGATCAATTGATTTAATGAATATGACTGCTGGTAAGGCTTCAGTGTAGCTGTGACATGCTAATTATTTATCATCCTGAGTAGAGACTGTTCAGGGTGGTGTTTGGTGTAACTCCTGCAGGAGGTTGGTGGCATCCTTTCTTTTAGGTTGCTAAAGTTTTGTGCTACTATACAGTGTTAACACGTAACAGTTCATTTTGGGTCTGTGGACCAAATGCACAGGGTTTGGGCAGGAGGCAGAGCTCTGCTTTTTGTTAGCTTCCTACTGAGCATGCAGCAAACTGATGGCACCCATTCATTTGCACTTACATGTCACCTTCCACCCAAAGATCTCAAACCATGTTAGAAGCATTTCTGCTACTGTCCTTTGCCTCAGAACTTGGACGTGCCTCTGAATTTCCATCCCCTCTTAGTTTGGATCTGGGCTCTGGATCAGTTCATTTAAAAAGATGAGGGGCTAACTGCAGACTCTGGAGCTGGCTCTGGGTTTAGATTTAAGAAGTTCTTGAGGTTTGGGTGCGGTCTGGTGTTTGCTGGTTTTGGCCCATTCCTTAGCAGGGCTAAGGGCAAAATCTTCCTAAGCTTGTATTTTATTCTAGGGGGCAGTTAGTTTTTCCCTGAGAGTGATGCCAAGTGCTCTAACATTCCTCCCTGCTGGTCTGTTAATACCTGAGAAAATGTATCCTGTTTCCTTTCCTGATCCTCTTCATTTTTCTCTTCTTTTCTCTTTCTCTCAGAGCAAAGAAAAAGAACAAGCCTCTGAACTTAAAGATTCACAACAGTGTGGGAAGCTGTGAGAACATCCCCGCTCAGCGCTCGCCCCTACTGTCTGAGCGCTCCCTGCGCTCCTTCTTTGCGGGATACCCACCTTTCCTTCCTTCCACTCCTCCTGTCCAGACGGAAGCCACCATCTCAGCAAGTAAGTCAGACCAGCCTTTGGGAGAGGGGAGGTGGCACCACCGCTCAATTTCACACATTTCTTTCCTTTGCAACTTGAGGAGTTAGACATCTAATGTGCTCTTTTTATTTAAATCTGCTTGGGTCCAGGAGAGTTGGATGATGACAGCAGAAGCTGGAGACCATGATGCAGCCTTTTCAGCCAGTTATGGATGAGTGGCTTGGAATATATTGGATAGATATTGCACGTATCTCAAAAAAATTCCTACCCATGCTGTTCTCTAGTTTGTTTTTTAGAGCAAAACTTCTTGCTCTAAATATTGAATACAGATATTAGGGAAATCTATGAATTCTTAAGGCCCTCCATGTGTGTATATGTCTGTGTATGAAGGTATAGATTTTCTTTGTGTATGTAAATATTAAGGCATTAGATATGAGTGTAGGTATATAAAGTATGCAAAAATTACACGTATAAATTTAACCCTCAGCATATCCGCAGCCATATGCAAGTAGTTTTGGAGAGCTGCCAATTTAGGCCCTGATTCATGAAAGCACTTAAGGACTTTAAGATGCTGAATGAATTAATAACATCTGTTTCATTTCCACCATCCTTGTCTCTGTGTAATTACCACTGACACTTGTTGGTAGCCACATGTTGATAGTTTAGTGCTATGTGGTTCTTAAGAGGCTGTTTTTGTTATAGGGAGTGTCATCACAATACCTGGTATAGAAAATGTTCCCAAGAGAGGTGTTGCTGGGAAGGGGTAGTTGCTCTTACAAGGTGTTACTGCAAATGAGCATTGACAGTACTGCCATTTCAAGCACATAACATTGAACATTTAAGGTCAGTTTTTCGTGTCTTTTTATCACAACCACAAGACATATCAGGACATACAGAACTCTGTCCCTGTTGCTTATTTTGCCTGCAGACTTCTCAGGCACTGTTAGGGAAGCCTCTGGCAAAGCTGGCCCTTGATGTTAAAGGTTTGGTATATATTGTGTGGTATTTTTTAAACCTGTTTCAATGTATGCACAATAAGTAGAGCACATGATTTTGCCCCCATTGATGCTAATGGTGAAGCTCCAATTGAATTTTATGGATTGTTTGAGGACTCTTTGTAGCACGTATTAATAGGTGGCATCAATATACCATATCTTGCATCTCAGATTACTTGCTCACTTGCTCGTGTACTTTCTGCAAGTGTTCAGAGGGCCCAGTGGTATTCAAGGGAGGGGGTGGGGGAGGTGGGCAGATGGATGAGATGAGGTATCTGAGGGGTGGGAGACAGTGTTAGATTCTGACCCTTATTTCCTAAGTCCCAAGTCAGCATTCTGATTAAATTTAATTTGGGAGGAAATGAAGCTTTTACAGCACAGCTGTGAAAAAGCCCAAGCAAAAACCTCCCCTAAAATGCGCAGCAGTCCTTGGACACTAGAAATCCTACTTGGGCCAAATAAAATGGATGCGTAAAGCTGGCACTTGGCTCAACACATATGGCCTCTTTCTCCTGGTTAATGCTCATTTTAGCATACCTTCTCTACTTCTTAAGCTTTTGAGCTTGCTTTCCACCATCTCACTGCTCTGTCTGTTCGCATCTGCTCTTCTCATTTCTCTCCTTCGATTTCCCTTCTCTCTCTGCCGTGTCCCTGTGCCCACGTCCCTGCTCTTTTCACTTTCCTTTGCTTGTTGATTTCCCTCCCGCCCCCTTCATCTCCTATTCTCTTATTCCCTCTCTTGTTTTATTTGGCTTCTCAGAATAATCATTTCCCCTGTGTTCCTTTTCACCTTTCTCTGCTCCTCAGAGCAAGAGCTGGCACTGCACATCTTCCTGGAGATCCCTGAAATGGATCATCTTCCTGTAAGATTTCCACCAGGGAACATGTGCCAGGGAAGGAAGGTGCCAAGAAGGTGGCACTTTGGTGTTTGGTGCTCCATAAATAGCTAAACCAGAAGAAGTGCCATCTGGAGCATCTGCCAGCCACGTCTGCTCAACAAACTGGCAGTTTTTAGACATGGTTTATTTGAGGGTGGGTTGAGAGACAGTGGTTTCCCCTCTGCTATTTGTTGGGGGGGAAGGGCATATACATAAAGACATGGGGATTGGTTAAATGCAAAGGATCCCTCAGCTAAAAGGCAAGCTGGTCCAGTCAGTTGGCTTCAGACCAGCATCTTTGTAAAGAAAATACATTTCCTCCTCTTCATAGGAAGAAATGCAAGCATCTGACTCTGGAGAAAGAAGCTTTCACACATGCTGTCAATGTATGCATTGGCAGAGGAGGCATCTGTGTGAGGAAATAGCGGGGTAGAGAGAGAGAAAGGTTAACATGCAGGGGCTTAAAACTTCAGGATGGCAAATGGCAGATCACACACAGAGGGACTCCTGCTGATTTTAATCAGAGCTGTATACTTAATCCCAGGCAAAGTGCTGGGTATTTCCCAGGCGTTTTCATGGCCAGGTTAGATAAAGCAGGAAATGCCTATTGCAATCTGTCAGGTGTTGAAAGCGCAGTGAATCTGTGCTTGAGTCAGGAGGTCTTGGCAGTGTCTGAGAAGGCTCAGGATCATCAGGTTATTTAAAATAAAGATCTGCTAACATCCCTTCTCCCACACCAGCAACAAAGGGACCATCCCTTTGATTTCTTATGTTTTGTGTAAACTGAACAGGCCTCCTGGGTTTTGTTTTGCTGATGGTCAGGAGAAGCTTAAATCACCATTTGAAGTTGCAGGGTATTAGTGC